ACCACTTTTGCATCTTCTGTTCAGACCGTCATCATATAAACGAAGCCTAAATATGCAGGGTTTGTGTGTTAAACATGTGTAAATGAAACAAAAAAACAACTCCAGGTATGCTTGTGATGAGGAAACAAGATTAAGACAGAGATCAGAAAACAGTATCATGGGGGCCCTTTAAACACAACTTGTGGGTAGGGAAGTTATACAACAAGTGGATAATAGTTGTTGCAGTACTCTTGCATATGTACTCCCACCTGGACTAGAGAGACTGCACTGCACAACAAATCGAGAATACATATGGATACTTATTTATTTATTTATATTTACTTACCCACTGGAATTTGCTGACATTGTTAAAGGAAACTTGTTCTCTGTTTTTGACCGCTGCAGTAATACCACAAGGGGAACCTGTCAGGAGAAGTGACCATTGTTTTAGGTTGATGGGGGAAACAAGAAGCCTGAATCATCAGCTGGTTTCACTTCGTGGAAACCGTCTGACCTCGCAGCAGTAGAATTCTTTCGCTCGATGGTAGGCAGATATTTTTTTATTTAACCGATTGCTGCTGTTTCGGCGTGACGTACGTAATGTGCCGCTAACAAGGACTAATATTAAGCTGTTCTGAAATCCAGTAGGAAGGAGGGCAATAACGTCTTTCCCCTTGATAAAATTCATCAAACATTCTACAGCTTTCAGTCCTTGATCTTAGGAATCGTTGCCAACACAGAATGTATGGCTTCGTCTACATCCATCTCGACCACTTTCTTTACTGTTGCACTGTACCACACAGATCTTTGCTAATCTTTGCTAATCAATCTACACCTTCTGGGGTTCTAGTGTATTCTGATTCCTGACCTAGATGCTGGTGAAAAATGAAATTATGCGGAGGCACTGGGTGGCACCAGCCTGGCTAGGAAACAAGAGGATTCTCAATAAAATCAGTACCCAGATACTACTTCATATTAAAACTAGTATAGAAATGAGATACTAATTTGAGCCAGGTATTGGTGGATGAAAATAATTTTGACCTAAAAAAGATTTTATATGATTGAATTGAAGAATATGATGAATTGAAACCAAATTTTCTTAAAAGGGCGATATTATGCTATTTTCTATATCTACATGTATCTATATGTTGTAGTGTTGTTTCTTCATCAAAAACAGACCCAGAGTTTTGGTTTGTTTCATTTGTTCATTCACATGTTTAATACACAAATCCTGCATCCTCTCACTCTGAAAACACATTGTTCCACCTTGCGGTCATGTGGTAATACAGGAAGTGCTCTACTGTGTTTTGAAATCCCATACATCTTCACTAGAATCATTTGGATACTCTGAGCCCTGGGATTTCCAATCTGTACTGAACAAAAGGTAAACTGTAGCTGTTAAGTTGAAACCCTGCATATTAAAGCTCAAACTAAAAACACTCTATTCCACTTTGTGATGTCATGTGGTAATACAGGTAGTGCTCCACTGTATTTTATTATAATCCTCAGGCCTTTACTAAAAATCGTTTGGATGATTTCAGCCCTTGAACTGCCAATGTCTAATGAACTAAAGGTAAAGGGCAGCTGCTCTCACCCTAACCCTGAACCCCCTTGAAAACTACCACTTTATGGCATCACAAGGTGGAATATGGGATTTTAAGCTTTGGAGATGTAGACAGACATGTGTGAATGAAACAATACTCAACTCCAGGTATGTTTTTGATGAGGTAACAATAATATAACATGGTTTAAAGCTCACACAAGTCAATTTTGTGTAACATAGGACCTTAAAAATTTAAAATAAGTTTGAAATTTTAGTTTAGTTTTTGGCTTCATTCCTGCTATACAAATACTCTTCTGTGGTCAATATGAGACCATAGTTTATATAGCTGTACTAAATATCAAATAGCATGAGTAATTATACTTGGTTACATAATGCATGTGTTAAAGCTTTCAAACCAAGGCCACGTCCCATTATAATTATAGCATGTTGACCTTGTAAATGCATATCTCAGCATCCATTTGAAGTATTATCTAATTGTAAGCAGCTAATGTGCCAATGTTTGGTATTAAGCTGTGAATACATATTGTACGATTCAGACGCTTTGTTAGCCTACGCAATGCAAAATAAAATGAGTCACAGCAATAAGAGAAAGATGGTCTATTTTGTGGCCATTAAGAAGGGGGATAGTGAATATATGGTACAGAGGACAGTGAATACATGGTACAGAGAAAGGACAGAGAATACATGGTACAGAGGGGTCACAGTGAATACATGATACAGAGGGACAGAGATGCAGAGGAGGAAGCACGAAAGAAATGAAGACTCTCCGTAATCGATGTTTATTGTAAATATATAGATTCATCATCCATACCAAAGTCCACTGGCCCCATGCAAAACACTTGTATCAAAACCTTTATTAATTCACATGTTTTGAAGTAACCATGCTTTTCTCATTGTGAATTAGTTGAAGTCATTCCACTCCAGGCATCTCCGTTGTGTCCATGCTGTTTTACATGTACTGCCCTTGAAACCCCCCAAAATCACCAAAAAATCACCCCAAGATTCATGCTTGACCATTGGAAAGTTAAAGGGAAATAAGAAAGGACCACGAATCTTCGACTTACAGCCACCGCTTCAAGTTGCTACAAAAGACAGTTGAAAGCTGAATGAAAGCTACAGCATTACATAGCCACGAAGTACACACAGAAATTAAGTAACATTATTAATAACGGCACTTTAATTAGCCTTAATAAAGCATGAACAAAGACTTAAATAAAGGATCTATACCTAATCTTTCCCATGTACTTAAGCCAAATTTCTCTTGCCCCAGTAGAGATACATTATATAAGCAGCTCTCGAGGTCAAGAGCTAATTATAAAGCGTTTTTGTGTCCAATAATCAGGATGTTCCCGTTAGCACGCTAGTTGATGTTAGCATTACTATCACTGCAAACGTCGCTCTCGTCACTGGGAGTTGTGAAAAGTGCATATAAATATATTCAAGGGAATACTAGGAATGTATAATGTGAGGAAAAACTTTGGATTATTCTATGTTTTTACATTTTTAAGACAAAATAATCATGTAAAAATCAGGTACAGAGCCTATAGATAGCTACTAAACTTCAATTAGTCTTGATAAACTACATTTCTGTTCATGCTTTATTAACACTAATTAAGGTGTAGTTATTAAGTGGTACCAAAAATTATAATAGACAATCGAATGAGTGATAAGTAGGCCTAATATTAGGCAACTTAAATTAACTTAGTGAAGACAACGTCAATATTCATCTGTATAAATAAAGGCAGAATTATTTTTCAAAAACTCTTACCTGTTATTTTTCATTGTGCATTGTTTGTAAAGTAAAATTTTAAATTAAAAAGTCAAGCTCGGTAAGATATGTTTTACAAACGTACATCTTGTTTTGTCTAATAGTTCAAAAAATAAAAAATAAGCAATGTTTTAAAATAAAAAGGTTAAAAAAAGTGTTAAGTTTGAGGCAAAACAACAAAAATCAATGCTGACTATAGCAGAAATGTCTCCCTCTAGTGTCCACTGTCGTAATTACAGTTAAAACTCGAAACATAAATTATATTATTAAAAGTTGAATAACCAAAAACATACATGAATTTGTATACAATAAAAAAGAAAATTATGTTCCAAACTTACAACTCAATTTGTAATGTCCTGTGCATGTTGTTTGATTTTAAGGATATTTTAAATGCATCTACTGCTACTGTATATTGTGCTGTCTGAAGTTTTTTTTTTTTTCTTTTGCTTTTCTTTAATACAATAAACCTTTTCCCTACCCGTTTTTCAGTAATTGTGTTGTAACTTTAAGTCAAAAAATATACATACGCACTTAAAACTCAATGTAAAACAATAAACTTATAAGTAATCTTAAATACGCTACATTCACTTTCCATCAAAAGCTACATCAATTTCATTAAAACCATTGACACGCCAAACAATGACAAGCACACCACTCATAACCCACTGATATGAAACAAAATGAATCATGATTTAAAGGTGCAGTGTATAGCCCTTTGGCGACCTCCAGTGGTGACGTAGAATTAATTTCAATAGCCTTTTCTGTGTATATTGTTTATGATGTACTGTTGAGTTTTGACCAATAAAAATTACATTAAGTCAAGTATTAAGTATAAGCTATATTCTTGGTGAACTAACTAATATATGTTGTTGTACAATAGTTTAACAGTCGCAGTATAGTTTTTAGGAATTTAATGCTAAATGGGTTGATCAAAAAGTTGTGGTGACATTGAATTAAAATTTAACTAAAAATTATCTAATAGATTAAGACTGACACATTTATATATTTATGCTTTGTTTTTCAACTGCTGTGCAAAGTTTGTCCTCTTCAGGGTGTTGTAGGGACTGAAATGAATGTCTATTGTAGTGCTACAAAATGCATAAAAGTACAATTGAATCAAATTGGCCAATTGTTTGCAAATTGCTACAGCTGCTATTAAATCAGAGAATATTTTGGTCTCTGCAAAAACACATACATCTTGTCTACATGATGTCTTATGCTGTTTAAAACCTGCTAACCCTGTTGTTGAAAACTCTACAAACATGTTCTGAAATAAATGTGATTCTTGTATTGTCCTGCAGTTTATAATTCAGTCTTCTCTCCAGTAAAAAAACAAGATTTCAAAATAATACTTGTTAACTTAATTAAATATTTCCCAAAGCCTCAATTGTTTTTGCAGAGTATAACTGGAGTTGAGCAAATTTGTTTATAGTAATGTTACTTTAAAATAATGAAGTATTATTATTATGATTGAGTATAAAGATGAGTAAAGATGAGAAAATTTAACTTTTTTTTTTTCTCACTTGAGAGTCAGTTTTGTTAAATATGACTAAGAATGGCGTAATGGGACTACGCTATTACATCCAGTGATAAAATATCTCGCAGAGCACCTTTCAAATTAAAAGCACAGAAACACAATGGGGAAAAAAATCGAATCAAATAATAAATAATGGATTGAAGCCATGCAAGTATGTTACAAAACAGGTTTATTTAACTAAATTAGGAATGTTTTTAAATGAAAATGAGACAACACAAATCACTAACTTAAACAGTGTATCGACAAATCTAGATTCAAGTCTGTGAGGCCATCTGGACCTGAGCCTTTTTAAAAGAATCCAACTACAGACCACTGCACTCAAATGAATGTGAAACGCCTAGAATTCAAAATTATTTATAATCTGGATTTCAATAGTGTCACTGATCTGATTTATATTTATTTAGTAAGTAGGTCTACATTTTTTTTGACTTTTTAAGGGTAACTTGTTTTTAGTTTTCAAGAAAAAATCTGATCTGATAGGTAAGATCCAGAAGTTGCACAATAGATGCATATTTTTGCTTGAAAAAATGAAAAAAAAAAAAAAAAAAAAAAAAGCAATAATATGCACTGACTTTTCTCGTGTGAAATCTGCCGCCTCCTTGTTTCCATGGAGATATAAAAGTGTGACACCATGAGGCCAAAATAGAGGTCAGATCTGTGGAGAGGCAAGCCCATTCACAATAAGAATGGGCTTTTTAAGCTATAACGACACTTGTAATTAAATAAATGCAAGATGAATGCAATACTGTGAAACATTCCAGGCATAGAAATAACATCTCTGTGGACACCGGCAGTTGGCAGATCCACCAGAAAAGTTGCATAATGCACCTTTAAAACTACTAATATCCAGATAAGGATTTTGAATTCAAGTTGATTTAATTCTTGTACAGGTATAATTTTTTGCTATGTGTATTCTGTCTCATATAAAATGCTCTTTGCCTACAATATACTGCTACGGACCACCAGTGTCTACAATTTGTTCATAAATAAAACAATAAAAATGTAGATTTGGTGAGCACCCGGTTGATAAATTGAATAAATTACTTTTCCCTTAAGTTCTGGCAGTTTTGTTCGGGCTTGTGGGGTTTTCCATGAACTTGTTTGTAGTGTTTTAAATGCTTCTTATTTTTTGGTTGATTTCTTTTTGGAATTTGATGTTTTGTTTTCGCTCACTCCACTTTACTGTAGTCCTCGACGTGCCCCAAAACCTTCTTCCTCTGTCGGATCATGTGGAAATACAGCTGAGGGAACACTGTGGAAGAAAAAATATAGAATTAGTTTGAGAAAACCTTTATAAATTTTAGGTTTATAATTACATTTACAATGGCAAGCAACAGAAGATTATAGAATTTGTAGTTTTTTCACCCATATGTCGTGCATATTTGAATAAAAATACATTACGTTTATAGATGTAATATCTTTTGACAAAGGATCTTCCACTTGCTTGTCTCCATGGAGATGATATCGTTTTGCCTGAAATGTTCCACAGTAAGGCATTAAACCTATCTATAACCATAAAGAGAGAAACAGGTGGCCAGACTAAATGGAGCGGTGACACTGCTAACAGTAAGAATGTTTTTCAAGGTATTTAGTTTTAGCCACGTATATAAATGCTAGATACTGTATTTATATAGATATATTTAATGTCATACTGTGGAACATTCCTAACAACGTAAAAATATCTACATGAGACAAGAAAATTGTGAACATCCTACCTCACACTCTGATACAGCGGAGAAAGTAAGTAAGTAAGTCTTTATTTATATAGCACTTTCACAGACATTTTCTGTCCCCAAAGATGCTTTACACAGCATTATTCAGCATTATTCATTCAGCATTCATTCACTCTATACCCTGGGGATGGTAAGCTACTATTGTAGCCACAGCTGCCCAGGGGCACGCTGACAGAGGCGCGGCTGCCATGCCACTCGGTGCCATCGGTCTATCCGACCACCACCATCACTCACACACACCACTTTCATACTAGGCAATGTGGGTGAAGTGTCTTGCCTAAGGACACAATGATTGAATTGATTGTATTTAACAGACCTTGACTATCAACTGTTCATGGAGACTTGTAGCATGTTTTGGGTTGATGGGGGAAACCGGAGCACCCAGAGGAAACCCATCCAGACACGGGGAGAAACATGCAAACTCCACACAGAAAGGCCCGGGCGACCTGGGGATCGAACCCAGAACCTTCTTGCTGTGAGGCATGAGTGCTAGCCACTCAGCCACCGTGCCACCACGAACAGTGAATATATATTTCCAGACACCAGATATAAATCCAATTAAAGTTGATAAACTGATAGAGCTGCAGAAGTTCCTAGAATTAACACTTCCCAGGTGTGAGTGAGAAATATACAGCATGGCATTTCCGTCAGCATGTGAGAGATCATTATTTTCCATCACACGTTTACTTGTTCAGGTGTGAGTGCCTGATCCACACCTTTAAAAATGGGGCTGCATAATTAATGAATTTGTTTTATTGATATTCACTTCAGATATCTCTTTATTTTCAGTCATCAGCTTGACTCTTCAGAAGTCTACAACCAATGTTCTATTAGTAAAAGCACGTGATTTAGAGCAGAGTTCAGGCTTTGACTTTTTTGTATTGTTTAGGTATAGGAAATTACTATTAATATACATTTTATATTGATTCTTAATAAGATAAACCGAAAAATACAACATTGTGATTGATCGATATAAGAAAAAAAGCATGATACATTTTTTGTCACATCACCAGATATTTGAAGCTGTTAACATTAATTACATGTCACAACATTCTGCTGCTATGTTACTTTAAATAGTATACTAAACCCCAGATACATTTTACTTTTATTTTGTCTGTGGCTCTGGAAAAATCCTTTTAACCAACTGTATTACGCAAAACTGACTCTCACACATGTTTGAGTTATGCTGCATTATTAGTCTGTCTACATCGCCTCAGCTCAAACTGCTCTGTTCCACCTTGTGATGTCATGAAGTGGTAGTTTTCAAGTTAAGCTAAGTTTTGCCTTTTTTTGACCATTCCACAGCTGAAATGATCAAAATGATTCTAGAGAGATGTATGGAGTTTAAAAACACAGTAGAGCAGTGGTCCTCAACATTTCGCAAACCGGAGGGGGTTGGGGGGGGGTTTGAGGAGCATGGTTAAATCCTGTTTTAGTCCTGGTTTTAGTCCTGGTTTTAGACCTGTGTTTAGACCTGTGTTTAGACCTGTGTTTAGACCTGTGTTTAGACCTGTGTTTAGACCTGTGTTAGTTCTGGTTTAGACCTGGGTTAGTTCTGGGTTAGTTCTGATTTAGTGGAGCAGCTCGCACAGCGTACGGCAGGGGGACGGTCAGAGCGACGTATGGTAGGGGGGAATGGGCCACGCGCTGTGGGGGGGGGGTCGGCCTGTCCACGCGGTGTGCGGGACGAGGGAATGGACCACGCGACGTGGACCAAACGACCCATGGCCCGATACCAGTCCCCGGCCCGTGGGTTGGGGACTCCTGCAGTAGAGGACTTCTTGTATTACTACATGACATCACAAGGTGGACCAGAGTATTTTCTATCTGAGAGAAGAACTCAGCCTAAACATGCAGGATTTGTGTGTTAAACATGTGTGAATGAAACAAAACACAAGTCCAGATATATTTTTGATGCAGAAATAACATTATAACATAGATCAGTAGTGAGATCAATAGTGTAGTCCCTTTAAATTATACAGTCCCATATTTTGGACCACTTCAAGCAATAGTATCTCTATGGAGACAAACAGGTGATGGACCCTCTGCACCAGTACACAGTACAACATTAAAAGAAGATTACACACTGAACAGAAAGCACAATTAGGGTTGCTGGATACATTTCAGTCATTGGAAACAGGACACAGTGTATAATAGTTGCCATTACTCACGTGGGATGTAGGAGAGCATGACGAGGATGAGAAAGGTGTAGTAGTCGAAGGAGAAGTTGTACTTGTTTGGCAGCGTGACAGAGTAGAGGCCCGTTTTCTGCACAAATGGCAGTGCAGCGTAGATGGTCAGAAGCTCTCCAGTCACTCCCATTGGGTAGAGCACAATAAAGAACGTGTACCTGCGGAGAAGAGAAGATATTTTAACTTAGAGGTGCACCGTGTAACTTTTCTGCTTGTCTCCATGGAGATTAGGGTTGCAAGATTAATCAAAATCTAATTTAAATCACAATTTGAATGCACACAATCAGCAAATCTCAAAGGCTGAAATTTGTGAAGTACCAAAATCCACCCACAAATAAGAAAATACAGTATCTCAAGTTTTTATGCCTAAAAACTGCAAAGCCTGTAGTAAACCGGTTCTAAAATAATACTACTCAAATCTAATTACAATACTTACCAGAAAAAATACAATTACATAGTTTTCCCACAATGTTCAGATACTTATTAGTTTGAGTATGGCATTAAACTCTATCACCATGGAGAGAAAAAGATGATGTGACCAGACCACTTACAAAATAGATCTGTGGAGAGATGACCCTGCTCACAGTAAGAAAGTATAAGTATGTCTTTGAAGGTATTTTTCAACTTCTGTAATTGAAAAAATAGCTTACAATTTGAGAAAAATATAGACACTTATAGCATTGATTACACTTGCATTTTTACTTATGAGCTGATCTTTATTTATTTAAATTTTTTAGTCAATTAATGTCTCCTGAATTATCACAATTACCGATTCACCAAATAATCTTGGCATGCCAACTTACACCAAACCCTTAAAAATGTCTAGTTTTCAGGCAGAGGATGATGTCTTGAGACTCTAAATGGTAAAAACAGCAGCTCTCGTCTGCTCCTTAGCAACAAGCCACAGGGAGACTGCCACTTAGCGACGGCTGCTACACAAAACCATTAGTGAAGCTGAGAGGCAGGTTCACAGGAGCGGAAAAGACAAGAATAGCTTTCCTTTAAATGTTTTGGTGTGATTAGCAATTTTATCTTCTTTTATGAAAGCATCTCATCTGTAAATATATACATTTACCTTAATTGAATGAAATGAACTCTATAATACTTTGATTTAACAAATGGTTTAAATTAAGCTAATAATAAATGTATCAAAGTAAGAACTGACAGGCAATTGAAGTTGACTGACTGTAGAAAGGCTGAGAACAAGTCTGATGTAGAGTTATGGACTTAAAAACTGATGTAACAATCTGGAAAAATTTAAACAGTGATTTCTGAGAGTCAAAGCAAAACAACCTCATGAACAGGGTATTATGCAAAATAGCCTTTTTTTTTTTTAACCATGTTATAACATAGTTCCCTCATCAAAAACATGCCTGAATAAATTTACATGTCATCCATGCATGTTCATGTCATCTAGCGATTTCTCCTGGGCCCTATTAGAACCCTCTTTAAGGATAGGATGTATAAAAAAGTGGACTAAGTGAGTGTGATGTCACCCACAGCGTTCAGCGCCACTCAAATGAACCCTGCGATGTTAGTGGTTAAAGGAGTGAATTTGGAGCCAGGCTCTGTATTATGAATAGGATTTTCATAAAAACAGCAAAAAAAACAAAAACAAACCCACAATGATGTAGAGCAGGTTAATATGAAAATTTTAAGACCAAAATTACAAGTCTCACAGCAGCAAATACAGAAAGAGAGGCAACAATGCAACAATATTCCAGTGTAAATCAATGGAAGCCATGGTCAGTAGGAGCCGGAAGAGCCCGCATGCAAACTTCCCATTTAGAACATGGCGGCTAGCACGTTAGCTATGTCCATTGTCTATGGTCTATGGTCACCCATGCCCCTGCACAACAATTTTTCTTACACGTACAAAGCATGATTCAAAATAGTACATAATAACTTTACAAACTTGATTCCATGTGCAGTAGTTTCATTAGTGTAATGCATGGTGATAGCGTTATGACAGTGAAGGGGGAGTGACTTAGTGTGGAGAACAAAGAGGAGAGCAATGGAGGACTCAGAGCGTCACACTACAAGAGAAAATTATTAAATGTTATTATGCTGTGTTTGGCTAATATGGCATTTTTAAATCAATAAAAGGTAAAAGGATGATCCAAATATGACATGTTAGCAGTTAACACCCCATACAAGGTTAAACAAGCGTGAATGAAGCAAAATACAACTCCAGGTATGTTTTGATGAGGGAACAACTTCATAACATGGTTAAACTAAAAAAAAATCAATTTTGCATGTTATGTGTCCTTGAATATAAACAGTACCTGGCCCATTTGATGAGGTAGGGCAGGTGGTTGAGGAGGCTAAAGGTGTAGAAGGAGTAACGGATAATCTCAGTCACGGTCCACGCTGTGACAAACAACAGAACACTGTCCTCACTCTGCACCTGCCGAACATACACAAATCATTATGGGAAAGCATACTCAAGTTTGGACAAAAATACACTCTCGCAAGCATGCCGGTTGGTTTGGATGCTACAGTCCACACACTACAAGACAGAGAATTTCATCAGGGTTTAATAAAGACAAATTCAACAAAAACAGACAGCATTCACATACAGATTAGATTTATTCTAACATCTTGAATATATAATGCTGTAATAATGTAACTTTTCTCGTGGAGGGTCTGCTACTTGCTTGTCTCATTGGAAATGTTACTACTGTGAATGTTTCACAGTATGGCATGATTCGATAACAGGTGTTATAATGGCTCAAAAATACATACAGAACCATATGCATTCTTACTTTGAGCAAAGTTTATAGCTATAGTGCTTGTCTCCATCGAGACAAGCAGGTAACAGACCCTCTATCAGAAAAGTGACAGTGCATATTTAATAACATCTAAGATGTTTAAATTTTGATTTAAAAGGAAGATTTGTTTTATAATGCCACACCGATGATCACAATTTACAAATCACAATATATGTAATTATTTACTTTTAAACAATTCTGTAAGAATTTTTTAGATGTATTAATTTCTGGTACTTGAATGCAAATATGTTTCACTTAAGTGTTGTAGGTAAAGTAACACAGATACTCTGAAGTTTCAAATGCACTATTTTGTCAGAAATGCAATTTTTTAGTATAAAACCAAGATTGCAGAAATATTTGTCAGTATCAAGAAAAACAATACAGTTCAATACATGTTATACAATTCTATCTAAATAAACAGTAGCATCCCTATAGAACAACCACGTGTCTTTACTTACTCTTGTTCTCCTCTTCCATCTATCAACATGGAAAACAGTAACGGGTCATTTCACACACTTAATTACTTTAAATTTGACTCTTACAGATGACGAATAGATTACGTTCTACTTTTGCAAATCTTCAATACATCTTAAATTTTAGCAACTCTAATTATAGTAAGAAATCATTGTAACAAATTATTGATAACGATAGGCATAATAAAACAATATAGTAAAACCAGAGCAGCGGCAGCATTTGTACCTCTCTGACACTGTGAGTGACAGCCCAGGTGAGAAAGACTCGAGACATGACCTGAAATCCTGTCAGCACCACAGACGAGGGTACGATACCTGGGAACAAACAAACTTACAAGTTACACCTGTACAGTACAAACAGAAAGAACAAAGCACAATAGTACGATAGTTTTTTGTTTTTTTTCTCACCAACATTTATTTGCAAACTACCACTTAACTGATGTCAAACTATGACAAATATTAACCACAGATTTAAAAAAGAGATTCTAGAAAAACATGAAATCTTGTAACTTGAAATGATGGGTCAAAAAACAAAACAAAAAAACCCTCAAGATCACAATCTTAATTTGATCATGATTCTTGTATATCTAGCCTTCTTTTATTAACTTTCAGATGTAAACTAAAAGATGCTTCTGAAAGTCACACTGATTAGTTAAATCCACTTGTCAGTCATTCAGATCATGACAGAGGTTAACCAATAAGACGAGTGGGTAGAGTGGGTATCGCTTATTACAAATATTGATTTTTCCTTTATTTGTTACTAAAATGTTAGCAGTCTGTAGTATCGACAAGAAAATTATGTAATCTGTCCTCATAAAATATAGCTGCTTTATTATGTCAAAAATAGGATTATTTCATTGAAATTATTTCAAATATTTGAAATAATTTCAATGAAATAAATTTACCTATACAGTATAAAACAAATACATTTTATCTGCAATTTTTTGTGACACTATTGTGTTCAAACCCACTGTCACTTAGCTTCGTATTGCTCAAGGATTTGCAGGATAGAACAAGTGTGCATTTAATTTTGAACAGAAAGTAATTAACTGCATTTTGATTACAATGTTCTTGTCGCTGAATAGAGTGATGGTTTAAATCCTGATTATACATTTTATTAATTACACAGCCCTTCTTATGTGTACAGAGGTGAGATGAGGCACTTATATATATATATATATATATATATATATATATATATATATATATATATATATATATATATATATATATATAGAAGAGGGAGTGAAGACTCACCGACAGCACAGTGCAAGATCTGTAATTGAAAAGACAAGAAAATATTACCCACAATGAAACAGGCTTGTTTTTTCTTCAAAAACAACCAGCACAGCATTTCTATCACGCATCCATTTCTTATCATTATTATCAAGTGGTTTCCCACGACCCCACTTCAAAAAAATCGACTATTTCTTATTCTGTGCACAGTTCAGCTCAGATCTTATTTAGACCTTAGATCTGACAGAAGCACAAAGCAGTACAGAAGATGGGCTCTCCTGATACAATTGTATTAAAACTACCTGGTGACATCATGTCTTCGTTAATTGTGCATTTTTAGAGTGTATTTGGAAGACATAGTTGAAAATCTTTAGCACTAATCTTTAACATTTTCTCTTTTGCTGCATGAGTTTGCTTTATTTGTCAAAAACTGCACTGGTGCACTGCACAATCAGAAAGAAATTAGATTACTCACATTAGATGTACCTGGCTGTGGTTACATGGACACTCAAAATCTTATTACTATACTTATTACAAAATTATCAAAATGAAACGTAAAAGACAAAATCATCAAATTTCTTTTCTGATCATGGGCTCTTAGATTACTCACATTCGATTTCACAGTTTAAATGTCATTTATGTCATGTAAAAGGTCCAGAAATCATATTATAATCAGATTTTGGTGTGCATGTGAACAAAGCCCCTGTTTACATGACATTTCAGTAATCTGATAACTCCAGAAATCAGATATGAAGCAGATTTTTAGTGCGCATGTAATTACAGCCACTGATAAATGAAATGATGACTAATGAGCTTGTTCTCTTCCCTGTAATTCCTATACAGAGGATTTCAGTCTGGTGGTTACTGGTCAGGCTACTTTCAAGAGACAACAACATATAATGATCTTGGGGAAAATAAAGCAATTACAAGCTTGCTGATGTTATCTTTACCTCAAGGAGAGCCCCGGTCTGAAAGAACTTGAGGGGTTTCTCGATGGAGTAGTAAAGGCCGTGGTAGCTGCCTCTCGCCAAATACGCTCGCACCAAACCCACCGCAATCACCAGCCACCTGCACACACAAAGGATTCATTATCAATTCATTCTCATTGTTCGTCATTATTTGCCATAGCCTTCAAAAGGACACAGTACTTTTCAACAGAGGATTACGATTAAAGTTGATTTTAAATGCTGTAATTTAATTTTACAGTCTTAAAAACATGAAAAACTTGTTCATTTGAAATGGGTTGCAGTGGTCCAAAGTTTTTCCTCACTTACCTTATGCATTTTGAGCATACTAATTTTCCACCAAAATGAGTTTATAAGTGCTTTTCACAGCTTTCAGAGGTCAAAGCAGAGTTTTGCTGTGATGGTAAAGCATACAGTACCTTGCATGTTAATTCAAACTTCCTGATTCTCGGACAATAAAACTCTTTATAATTGGTATATTTATTTTGACCTCAAGAGCTGCTAATACAATACATCTGTACTGGGGCAAGACACATTAAACACATGAGAAAAAAATTTATACAGACCCTTTAAATTAGAGTTTAAAAATTAAATTAAAAAGGGATGCAATTTTTCAGATTAGTGCAGCAAGTTTAGATTTGTAATTTATATTTTCAACTCAAGATTCAGTTCAAAGTTCAAATTTTAAACACCTCCAGGGGCATTAACATTTGAGAGAAGACTGTCTTTTCAGCCCTACATCGTGTGGACGTAGCCTGAGACTAAGAACCCAAGGATCCAGGGACCCGCTTGCTGTGAGGCAGGTTTGCTAACCACTAAGCCACCTTGCAGCAGGGTTGCAGGGTTCTTAGTAAGAAAAACTACACACTACATGAGAGAGGACAAAACTGAGTGAGGAGTTTTTTTTAAACTTTTGCCTTTTTGACCCACTTCCTGAAAGTTTGTTTATAAACAGCATGTCCCTCCAGGGCTGCCATAGATGCAGAAGTAGGTGGGAGGGCTAAACTTAGTAGCTCTAACTTTGCAATTCACTACATGCCAGCAAACAATTTAAAGACCGAAGAAATAACCACATTTTTTCCCATCTTATACTGTTAAAATGTGTAAATTTTTGCTATCTTTTTACTACTGATTAAGAATTTATTATTACTATTTATATTTTTGCTCTTTATTATTATATTTTTTGTGATCTGTAAGCTACTCTGTCCAAATAATTTCCCTTGTGGATCAATAAAGTTTGTCTAAGTCTAAGTCTAACATTACACGCCATTTGTATTTCCAGTTTAATTTCAAAGTTTAATGGATTAATTCTAATGATATTATTGTTTAATTTATCAGGCCTATCATTTTATTTCATTTATATGTGCCACGTATTATTTAAAGCAACACTGCACTCATAAGGAGGTCAGTGGGTCGACTCCAGAACACGAGGTAGAAAGCTGTGTCAAGTTGCACAATTTTTAACATAATGGTTTTCAACTGTACAACATTTTTTCAAGTTTCATTTATTGTTCATGGTAGGGCTGATCAATTTGGGGAAAAATGTCAAATTACTTTTTTTCTGATAAGCACTGCAATTGAGATTAAATTTGTTTTAATAGTTTTGCTTTTGTTCAAATTGCACATTTTAAATTTGTCCAGGAGAATTTCCAAATCAAAAATACATTTCAGAACATATTTATACATATCTAAACTACAAGGTCAGCAGGTTTCATACATAATAAGACAATAACAAGATATTTTGTAGTTAGAGGTGGAAATTATGGAGCTTTAAAAATTGCAGCCAATTCGCTAAGAAATTGCATTTTTAATGAATTGAGATGAATCTTGCAGACGATAATTTGCAATACAAGATCACAATTAGAATAGTCACAATTACACTACACAAGCAAATTACAATTATTGAAGTACAGTACTACAAAAAAACATCTCTTTGGATACTTAATAATATTCATTGCATCTCTTCTACTGTTTATTGGACATTAACTAGACAGGCTTGTTTCTGTCTGCTGAACTAGCGTCTTGAAGGAAAAAGGGGGAGTATGCAAAAGTGTGTGAGTTTCTATACAGCCCAGCACAAAGCTCCATCTATCCATCAGGAGAGAGCCACAATGTGATCTAACTGGTTGAACAGTGAGCAAACAACACCCACCATTGAGTTGTGCAATATTCAAGAAACTAATGCAATAAAACTGATTTAGGCCAGAGTTCAGGATAAGTAACATTATCAACACTATCTAGATTGTGTGTAATCACTTTAGTAATATAACTGAAACAGCAGTATGTAAATTTTTTATTGAAAAATCTAGACAACCTTTTATTTTAATTTGTTTGTTTATTACATTTTAACATTGTTTTTAATGTTACACCACATTTTGTTAATAGTTTTGTAATCTGCATATTGTAAAAATGCTACATAAATAAATTGTCTTCTTACTTTTATGTTTGGAAAGATATCAAATTATCAAGCCATAACATGTATGCAAAACCTGTATGCAAACCCTACTACCAGCCAAGTTGTAAACACAATTTTTTCAGTCACAAAATACACCAACAAAATATATTTCAATTGATAGATACGAGCTACAGCAGCATGTATGAAATATAAAATACAACACAATAATTGAACTGGTTTGCCACATGCATTCACATCACTCCGAACACAGACAGACGAATATAAATGCATCTGAAATTCTGTGCCAATGGCCTCTCCAAAAACCACTACAAATCTCACCATCAGTTAATACAGGGCTGGTGAAGTGTTTTGAGCACAACAACATTACACCAGTATCCACAAGCATTGCAATGGTTGTAGCACTCACCTAAAGGCAAATTTTAAGCATTGTCATTGAGTTTTGTTATAATAATTTAATTTCAATAGTGTCTACATGATTTGGTTATTTGGGGTTTAAATCTGAGCACCAGCAACCTTTCAATATCCTTAATCCAATTTCTCAGTAAGCCATTAATGCAATAAAACAATTTGCTTTGGCGGTTACCAAAGTAACACAAAGTAGGAGTATTTTAATCACATTTGGGTGCTTAAAGCTAAATTTGCAGTTGTTACATTAATTAGAAGTTAAACTACTAGTGGAGCTAAACCACCATTCAACCACCATATGTGATACAATATTGGCCCTAGAGTAGAGACAATGAAAAATACGCTTCATTTATTCTTCTGTCTGCGCTGGGGGCCAGTCAAATACAATTAAGTGCACATATGGCAGGTGCCTCAGTGGATCATCTCATCTTAAATCTCTATACTACAGTGCACCACCAAAGATTTAAAAACGTTAGTGCACAAGATAATAAATATATGTGTAATTGATTTAATGTGCAAGGAACTAAGATTTCAGTAACAGTCATAATTTGATGAGGGAAATCAGTCCTCTGCTATCCAATCTTGTTCATTCATTGGCACGGAGCATGCTGCATAGAAAAATATGCAACGCAAACATATCCATATTAAAATTTAGTCAATATATTTTGTCAAAAGTGTAGACTACAGCCATTAAAACAACGGAGATATTTGCATTATAAGCAAATCTTTCAACAGCTACTTGTTTTTGCCCGTATTTGCATAGCTAGCTCCATAGACAAACACGCTGTATAGCGATTTCATTGCATATATTTTTTATAACCTTTACGTGGAAATTCTGAACTATTGCGAGAAAATATTTCAACAGTTAAATCTGTTCTGCTGCTTTTCACAATCCGTTCTTGCTGTGTAGTCCATTGAGTCCAAGGCTAGCTCCATACAGAGAAACACGCTACTTACCCTGCTGTCATAACCACGTTGTAAATGACCAGGTAAGCCGTGGCCAGAGCCCCCGGTCCCTTGCGCTTCTTCTGGGCCACATCGGGGCCGTGAGCCGCTTTGCTGGTCCCCGCCGCAGCTGCCGACATGTCTGCTACAGCCCTCTGAACGCGGTCCGTGCTCCTCGGTGATCCTGGATGGATGACAGCGACTCACACTCCGGAAACGAAGAGGGGAGACTAATCCGGAAATAGAGATGCAAAGTGAGAGAGATAGGATAATGTACTTCCGGTTTTGTTACAAAGTTGTATTTCATAAAATTTTATATTTTAATTTTTACCCTTTATTCATGTATGTTATGTTATTTTATTCTATTCATTTTTAGCTCATATTTAGTTCACAATTTAACAATTAAATAAACACCTCTCCTCCACCTCTATTACCCAAAGATATAAACCCATCCCTTTTTATTTTAGAATACTCAATTTAATAAACTTGTGAGGATTTGCAGGTACCATGATTTCTCTTCTTCTATATTTTTAGATTTGAATTTGGAACATTGAGCTGAATTTATTTTTGCTACAAACACTTCAAGCCATAATTTCACTAAATAATCAATGAGTTAGCAAACCCATAACCTAAAATAAAAAAATGAGAAAATACATTTATTTTTTTTATCAATTAGTGCATAAACTTGTATTATAAAATGTGTACGTTTTATTACTATTGTTTGCCACTAGATGTCAGAATTTCACCAATAATTGCTCAATAAAAAGCAATTCATGAAAAAAAAGCAAAATAAACCACGTGAAATTGTTTTACATTCAATTTGGTGTTGTTGATGGGACTAAACATGCAGAAATCAAATTTTCATACATTTTTATCAACTTATAAAAAATATTCAGGCGATATCCAAGGCAACCAAGTTTCCGGAAGTGTAACTGGTGCTCAACACGGAAGAGTCATTTGTTTAGGTTTTAGTTTTATCAAGACGCTTCGATTTTTTCTCGCTAACAGTTGGATATTTTGTGTTTCTTTTAATTATCAAGATGCCTTTATTCGCCCAAAACCCATTTGACCAAGATGTCGGTAAGTAGAGAGGTGTTGTTTACCATTTATGTCAAAGAAGTGCTCCGATTAGGCAACATTAGCTAAGTTTAGCTTAGCACGAGTTTGATCGCGACTGTAGTTTTGTTGTACAATGGGTGTCTTTGTCGTGTTCTGTTAATTATAAATGCTAAATCCCATACACTGTGGTATTATTCTTAGTCCTTTAAAAGAAAATGCCAATGACAGTTGTATATGAGATTTAATTCCATGTTAAAACTATATTGTTGGCCATTTAAAGCCCCATTTAAGCTGACACGTTGGACAAATATTACAGCCGCAAGTTGTATCTCGTGTTCTGGCCACTTAACTTTGGTTGGGAAAACATAGTATAAAGTCATACTAAAAAACTAAAATGCGATCTATTTACAATTTAGTATATGAGAACAAATTTTATGATTGTAAGGGCAAATTGTCAACCCCATATAAACCCTCCATCAGTAAAAAAAACAATAGTGTTTTGTTTCGTCATGACTCCCGACTGACCGAGTGTCACCGCTGGTTAGAACAAATACATAACGATGATTTTGACATATCTTATCCAAACATTTCCTAATCATATATTTTTTAGCTTTTCATTCATGGTATTGTACAAATATTATGAACAGTATCTTAGCCTGTAATAAACGAATAATATCATTGGATTGGTTCATATGGTTTGGTTCAGACATATATAACGATTGTGTTAAAAAAGGCAAATGATGGACTGTGGCTGAAGTCACTGGCTGAAATGCACAGTCACACATGGTCATCTGACTTGCCTGTCTCATTGTAGCAGTATCTCAGTATCTCAGTGTTATACTTTTGTTATTGATTATGTATACATCAAAGTTTATTTGACCAAGCTGCTGTTTTGTTGTTATTGACAGTGGCTGATAACGATGACAACAGAGATCATATGATACACCAAGATTCAGGGTCATACTAATATGTTATATTTGTGGAAGGTACATTGGTGACATTTTATGATCTGCTGGTTGCATTATCTTGTGAGAACATCACAAAAGAAAACTGTAGTTTTTCGTATGTCTTTTTTTTATTTTAAATTGTACCGTTTTTATGCTTAAAAACTATAAATCTTAAAGACTACAAAATTGACTCCAAAAATACTAGCAAGCTGTCATAGACTGTAAAAAGATGATTCAACTTCCCCTGTGGTTGTACAAAGTACTTGTGGTTTAGAGATGATTTAGTTAATGTCAAATCTTTAGGCCAGTAACACCAGTAGGCCTTATATTTAAGTTCTTTAACAAATTTTACTGTTAATTCTTACTAGCTACTTGTCTCAAATATTGTAATTTTTTTTAGACTTTTAGCTTGTCTGCTCAAAGGCAACACAGACATGTCACATGGTGGTATTTGGGTAAGAGAATGTGCTAATAAAGTTGAGACACTGAGGATATGGGAAAGAAGTATTTCATCTATTTCCTCTTACAAGAACGGTTACTGTAAAAATGTATAATCAAAATCAAAACATTGTATGTGTTTATCTTCTAAAGTGTTTATTATTTTATTGCAGAAAAGGTAACCAATGAAACTAACACGACAGATGACTGGGGCCTTATTATGGACATATGTGACAGAATTGGAACAACACCAAATGGGTAAGAAATAGAAAAGACTGAAAGTAGCTGTAGGTAAATGTAATTTTAAAACTTATTTTCTTTCTTTTCTAAACCTCTGGTCTTAAATGGACCATATTATGCTATTTTCTGATTTGTGTTATGAGGTTTCCTCATCACAAACATACCTGGAGTCTTGTTTTGTTTCATTCACACATGTTTAACACACAAACCCTGCATATTTTTTTTGGATGATTTCAGCCCTGGTATTGCTAATCCCCATCTGAATTAAAGGCAAAAGGAAGCTGTTAACTTTAAAAGTACCACTTTATGACATCAAAAGTTGGAACAGAGCATTATTAGATTTGGAGATGTAGCCAAACTGATAAACCAGATTTACCAAACATGTGTGAATGAAACAAAGCACAGCTCCAGGTATGTTTTTGATGAGATAACATTATTCTAACAAGGCTTCAAGCTCACAAGACTTCATTTGGTATAATCTCGGACATTTTAATGATAGATTTTTTTTGTGGTAAAAATCTAACACAATCACTGATGAATATAAGAATAGTATATTATAGAAGCAGCGTCTGGCAATCCACATTTTTGGTATAATTTCTTTTTCCCTAACACTGTTATGTTTCATTTTGTCACTTGAAAATGTATCAATAATATGTGTTGAACATATGTTTTATATTTGTGTTTTTTGTTTTTCAGACCAAAAGACAGCCTGAGATCTATAATGAAAAGAGTCAACCACAAAGTGCCCCATGTTGCAATGCAAGCTCTCAATGTGAGTGTATTATTCACTGTCGTAATGTTAGATGGCAGAAAATAAGACCTACTTATTAATCTTTCCTTCATTAAAAGTAAATGATTGGTGCCGTTCCATTGGCATCTTAGAAAACATCTAGCATGAGTCACTACCACCTTGTGTTATTTTAGCTTAACTTTCAACTTAAAAATATAAATATGAATTGCTACTACAAATAATACTGTTCTACTACTACTAATAATAATACTTGTTGTTACAGTTGTTGGGGGCTTGTGTGGCGAACTGTGGCAAAATCTTTCACCTGGAAATCTGCTCCAGAGAGTTCGCCAGTGAAGTCAAAAGTGTTCTAAACAAGGTATGTAATGTGTAATGTGCAGGTCCTAAATTACACAAAACAGGTTATTGTGAGCTTTAAGACATGTTATAAAAATGTTAGCTCATCAAAAACATGGAAGTTGGAGTTGGAGTTGTCTTTTGTTTCATTCTCACATATTGTGTTTGAGTAATCCTTTCATTATTAGTCTGTCTACATTTCTCTAAAATTGAAAGTGCTCTGTTCCACCTTGTGTGTGATGCTGTAGTTTTCATTATTCTACTAGACCACTTTCTAATTCAGGACTATTACACTTTTATATTATCTTAGGTTTAGCATATGGAACAAAATGTAAAACCAGTTCTGTGTATTTATCTGTCCTTCACAGGCGCATCCTAAGGTGAGTGAGAAGTTGAAGGCGCTGATGGTGGAGTGGTCAGAGGAGTTTCAGAAAGACCCACAGCTCAGTCTGATCTCAGCCACTATCAAGTCTCTGAAGGAGGACGGAGTCAGCTTCCCCTCAGCCTCTGCTCAGGTACAAGAGAAACAACCCAGGGAGCACACACTGCAGACAACACTCCGGATATTTATATTTAAACACTATTACTGCAATATACTACTTAAAGCGATAGTATGTAACAGAAAAGACTAAAATAAAAGCATGATTTGTTTGTGTTTACCGTACTGAAATAACAAAGAAAAACTGCTGCTTGTTTCCATAGAAATGTTGTTTCCCTGGCTATGGTTATAAAACTCATCCATCTTCATGGAGAATGTACACAAGTATGGTTTTTAACTTTCTATTTCCATGGAATCATACAGGTGACATGACACCTCCAGAAAGTTACATACTGTACCTTTAAAATGTGACATTATTTTTTACTATTGAAAATGGTTAAATTATCAAAACGTCCTTTAGGGTGAATGCCTCAGTGAATCGAAAAAGTGCAACTTGCATGGAGTAAAGTTTTGGGAACTATTTACAAGAAGGCATATTCATAATTCAAAATAATAAGAACTATTCAGGCTTAGTGACCGCGTAATACTCTAACCACATGCACCTTAATTGCTAAACTATTAGTACACTATTTGTTCATTATGAATTAAGTCTATTCATGCTTTATTAAGGCTAATTAAGGTGTAGTTATAATAAAGTGTTACCAAAAGTTCTTGACTCTCAGTACATGGATTGTGTCTGCTTGATGTACTTAACTAACATAGGATTGTCCCTTTTATTAAAAAATAGACCATATTAAGTAGTTTGACCTAAATAAGTTGAAAAGCACTACCTACATGGTATGAGGGCTGTATCCTTGTTTAATCTGTTGTGTAAAAGCAGTTTGTGTGTCAAGGGCTCAGGTGGACTTTGTCACTGTAATGTTGACCCAGTACTGAGACAGAATAAGGAAACAGTATGTCATGATGTTTATGACCTGTTGTAGCACTTTCTCAGGTGTCACGAGGCGTTTCTGTTTCTCATGTATTCAAAGCAGTGAACATTGGTACCATTCATTTATTGCTGTCTGTCTCATGTAGGCAAATTAGAAAGCCCATTTCCTGCTCCATTTTAGATCTCAGGAATGAAGTTACTGTTGCAATATAGAGTAAAAGTATAATAATACTATATACTATACTATATGATACTAGGATTGTCATAAGTATGAACAATCAGATACTAATCAATACTAAAACTAAAAAAGGTCACATTCAGAGGACAGAAATGATCCTTAGAATATCTTTAGAATGAGATTTGCATGACTCTTAATTGAATAGAATAGTTTTGTTACGTATATGAGTACCGTATATGTTTTGGTTTCTATTGATACTTTGCAGCTGGTGTCTTCAACCTTCCCTGGGAGTGTGAACCTAACTGAAAGCACTACTCTGTCAGAAGCTCTATTACTTAAATTAGACTTAATCTGAACTTTATTTTAATATAATCTGACCACAATCTGACTAGAAAGAGATTATTTTTTTCCTGTGTTTTGAGACGATTTTAAAATTTACTTGTCAGTGTTTGTTAATGTGTGCATTGTGTCACCACAGTAACTTTAGACTAACTTTATTGATTCATAAGGGAAATTGTTTAGACACAGAAACTCACAAATCACAATACAATATAGTAGCAAATACTTAAAATATAAATGGTAATAATAAATTCAAAATAAGTAGCAAACACAGCAAGAGACTGATTTCAAATAAGGCAATAATTATATAAATGTACAAGTATAAATAAAATATAGAAATATAGTAGTACAAATATATCTCAGCTATATACAAGAGGTTATAAGGAGAAGACAATGCAAAGAGGATATAACTGGTGGACATTCTGCCAATCTGCCTTGTGTGATGTGACTGCAAAGTATCAATGTAAACCTATATTATAATTGAATGATCCATTTTTTATTGACGTTTCAACCATATCTCCTCGGCCTGTAGCCTGCAGCCAGTTGTGTGTTAATATAATATCAGATCTCCTGCATGAACTCCCTCTTATTGTAGTGCACATATTGTTGGTTAATACATGACTGAGAGCTGGTGAGGGCGGGTGACACACAGGCAGCAGGAATGACATTTAATCTGCCCAAGCTCAGTGGGCACAGCGGGCACAGCAGGAGGAGGAAACCACGACGGACCCACACTGTTCAATGTTTAGCTACTTCCTCAGAGAAAGTAATACTAGATTATCTAAGTGATAATAGTACCTGCATTAATAAGGGAAAACTATGGTCTAAAATACACATGGCTTAAAATAAATATTGGGCTCAGCAACAAGTCATGCTTTTGTATTATCACAAACTAGTAAGAGAAGTGTTCAGAAAGTCTGCTTAAAGATTAAAGGTACCCTGTGTAACTTCTCTGATCGGTGCTGGTTTCCATGGAGATGTTATTGCTTTTCTTGGCATGTTCCACAGTACATATCAATTTAGGATTTAATCAATACACTCCACCTAAAAAAAAACTTTTAAAATATGCTTTTCTTTCTTTGAACGGGCTCTCATCTCCACAGATCTGATGTGTAGCCTGGTTGTGTTACCTGCTCTGTCTCTGTTGTATTGTGAAACATTCCAGGCAAGGCATTTTACTCCATATATTATACCCAAAGGGATGCACTGATCCAGCTTTTTCAACTCCTATACCAATATTGATATTTAAGCTTTAAGTATCTGCCAATACCCAATATAAACCGACATCAGTGTAGGCAGAATGGCATTTTTTCCCTCAAATTATTACAAATGTGATCCAGTTGTGTTGCGCAATTGTTATTTATCCTGCAAACCCTACCAAAAGCACAGCATCGAAATTTTAGTTATTTGAGACAATTGAAAATCAACCCCATATAAATTTCCTCTTGATGAATCCAATTAAATGTCAGACATTTGTGTGTACTGGGCATTATTAAATGTCCAAATTCTTCATTCATTCCAGTTCCAATGTTGAACTGCAGGTGGTGTTATTTCTCTAAAGTGTCTCTTACCCCTCTTCTCTTAATGGTGTGGTGTTCTTGTGTGTTTTCATGTACAGCAGGGGTCCAGTTCAAAGGTCACTGCTCCAGCTGCAGCCAAAACATCAGAGGAGGACGACCTCGCCAAAGGTACTAGAAATGATTCATCTTCTATTGAAAGGAGCATTTCAGAACACATTTTCTTTTTAAACAAATACACATTGCTTTTAGATGATACTTGTTTTGCGGTTATGTATTTGTATTGTATTTTGAGTCTTCTACTGTTCGGGTGGGTAATATTGATCCAAAATAGAAATCTTGGTAGTTTAGTTGAAATAATACTTATTTTGTAGTTATGTATTTCTATTTTGAGTCTTCTATGTATGTAATGACAAAAATTGAAATACTGATAGTTTAGTTTTCATAGATTCTCAATGACAATAGTTAAAAACATTTTGTTAATCCATCTGACATTTGCTCAAAAGTATTGCACAAATCCTTTCAAGATTTTTTTATCTTTATATGTGAGCTGGTATTTTTGCAGCCTATTTTAATTCAATATTTTCAGTTCTAGGCAATATAATCCATGTTCCCTTATCCAGGCCAACATTGTAAATAAATAATAATGTTTTGACAAGTACAATAAAGGGTAAATAAAGTAACTAAATAAATACATATTCTAAAACTATATTTGCTACTTTACATATGAGATAAGGAAAAGCATAAATAATAATGTATTACTTTTAATATACACTTTATGCTAAAGTAGAGTCTCTTACATACTGTCTTTGTTGGTCCATTTGTCCCCATGCATCACTGGTTTCTTCTTGTATTGATTCATTCTTCCTACATGGTTTCTTGTGGGAACAGTTGGTCCAGTTACATACAAAATAATAATGATGAATGGTGCAGTGTTGCCAATCCCACATGCACTGATACTTTGACCACCATCCTACTATTATCTGTCTATAGTGAGGTGCCAATTGATGTTTTGTAAGCACAAATTGTTAGAGTTTTGTAAGCTAAGATGAATGTAAATGTTGGACACTTTTCTGGTGCAGATTCCACTTTTGACTTGTCTCCATGGAGATGGTATTGCCTTGCCTGGATTGTTCCACAGAATGGCATTAGTATTATGTATACTGCATTTATTCAGTCTATCAAATAAAATATTTGATAGATTGAATAGTGATTTTATATGATTATAAAAGCACTAGGATGTATTTTATATGTATATATTTCTAACAGTCCTTTACTTTATTGCATGAATTTTATTATTTAGAAACAATATTAGAACATTGCAATAAATCATGAATACTTAAAGTTGTGCATTAGGTCTAGGAATCACATTGCATTACTTAGACAGATATGGTTATTTAACTGTCTGTTGTCAGTACACCATCATTAAAGTATCATGAATTATTTAAATCTTGATATTTTGTCAAACCTTTTAGATACGGTCTTTATTTTCTACTCTGTTTTTTTACAGCCATTGAGCTCTCACTGCAGGAGCAGAAACAGCAGGCCGAGACACGCCCCCTCGCCGTGACCTCCGACCCCCCGGCCTACAGCACTGTTGCCGCAGCTACGAAGGAGGCGCTGAAAGTTCGGGCGCTTTATGACTTTGAAGCAGCAGAGGACAACGAGCTTACATTCAAAGCAGGAGAACTTGTGCTAGTTTTAGATGACAGGTATTGAAACTTGATGTGGAAAATCTAAACATTTAGACTGACCTTGCTCAGACTGATATGTATATCACACTGAATTGAGATCTACAAAATTGTCAGTCTGGAACGACTCTCACTGAAACCAATCAGGCAAATGTGGAACAGCCGAATCTGATTGGTCGAAACGTCACAGCAGCAGAACAAGCCAAAATATCCAGTTTTTGTTACATCCAATTGAGAGAAAAACTTCCCTATCTACAAGAGCACAAAGCACCTACCTTCTGCACGTTTTTCTCAATCCAAAGTCTGTATTTTCACTAAAATAGGTTGAAACAGGCTGACATCTGTCATTGCTGCATGAGTGTCTCAAGATGAATTCTCCTGAATTTGTGAACTTAGAAATATCTCAAGAATCCATCTTGCTACTTAAGATTACTTTAGACATGATTTCAATGCAATACATATATTACAAAATTGCTAAATTATGATTATAAATAAAGTCATTCTAAATGCTTAACATCAAATCACTGTATGTTTTGCTATAGACCACACTGTATCCTTATACTTGCCTTGTTTGACAGTGACCCAAACTGGTGGAAAGGAGAGAACCACAGAGGAGTCGGACTTTTTCCCTCAAACTTCGTTACAACAAACCTGAACACTGAACCTGAACCAGGCAAGGCTAATTACTTTATTTTCTTCTTATCAAAAGTGCATATTTATTGTTTATATGCTAATCATGGATTTCACACAACCCTTTGAGAACTTTTTCACCATTCAGAAAGTGTTCTACTGAGAACTAGGCACAAACAGAAGTATTATTTGATGACAAAATACTACTAGACTAATAAGCAACTACTTGCATAAAACATCTAATTGATCTCATTATTTTAAAATCAAAGTATCTGATGAGAGTAGTATATTAAAAAATAATTCAAAAGTTTAGGTCAAAACACACATTTTAATATTTTTACAGCGATATAAAATGGGGATAGGTAAGTATGGATTATTTGAACCGATACGATATTTGCCGACTGCTTTGGTTGATAAGTGAAATTTGTAGATATCAATATTTCGCTTTGAAAATCCATATTAGGAGCCAAATATGCATCTTAAGATGAAGTAAAGATCAAATAAATTTTTTTAAATGTAATAATCCTGGATATGAAATTATTTGTTACATGTTTACAGCCATATAACACACCAAAAAATATCAGTATTAAATATCATTCCCAGCAGTATACAGATATCGAGGAGTCTGTATCGATATGGACCAATACTGATACTGGGACAGGTATATCACCCATCCCTAATATAAAATGAGATTAGCCATGAATTTAGTGCTTGTTAAAAATATAATATTACTTCAATAAGCTGTATGTGATGAAATTGCTTAGTAAATTTAACCTCTCTTTTAACTCTTTCTTTCAGTCCTTTACGTTGACAAAGCTAGTACTCCTGAACAGACGAGCCTAGAGACCAAAGCAGAGCCAGAGCCTGTTTTTATCGATGAGGTAAAAATGGCCGCCAAGTCCGGAGTCTTCTGCAAACTCACATTTAGATAAAACATTTTAATTCACTTTAATTCAGACTTTTAATTTGGTTTCATTTATCTTTTCCACAGTCAAAGATGGACAGGACGCTGGCTCTTCTACAGAATGCAGACCCAGCAGATCCTAGCCCAGACTCCACAGAGCTGCTGCAACTCGAGGGTACAACAGTTTAAGTTACATTTTCTGGTCATCTGCTTGTCTCCATGGTGATTTTCATGGAATGTTCTAAAGTTTGTCCTTTAACTTGTGCATTTGGCAGATTTAATGTATTTTTCTAATTATTACTTGGTCTGGTTGGATAGTTCGTGTGGTAAATATTCATCATAAATTTACTTCAGCTAAGAGGCATTTGGTAGAAAATAACAAGTTGGAAAAAATACAGGAACCGAAATAGTGGTGAAATAGAATTCCTCAACCAATTTCATCAGCTGCTATCAATTAAATCCAAAATCCAGGGACAATTTATGCACAAAGAAGGCAATATTTCTGATTTAACAAAATCAAAGTGTTGTAATTCATTTGTATTTGTGAAATCAGAACTATGTTTTGGGCCTTTTTAACCATATGGTGGCAAGGTAACATACCTCAGCGTATGTCATATCTGCTGCCAGTATCCAACCAGGAAGTAAAATTATAAACTTCAAAATTACAAAATTTTCAAATTACAAAACCAGAAAAGAGTCTGCAAGATTTTTAGTAAAATCTAATGATGTTAACTAAGTTTTAGAGAAATGAGTACCGTATTTTACAGGCTATTATGCGCTCTGGATTATAAGACGCATTGTCATTAAATGATCTATTTTCGAACTTTTTTCACAAATAAACTGCAATGGACTTTACACGAAACACAACAGTTCGATGGGTCAATTGGACTTTGTTTGGCGCGCTCACGGTGACTCTGGGCTTTGTTCAATTGGGAGGGATTAGGGAGGGTGCTGTCGTGGGTGAGGGTGCTGATTGTTGGCGTGTTCGCAGTAACTCAGTTGTTCAGTTGTGGTTCAGAAAAGCACATTGGACTTGTTTTTTTGGTTTGTTCCTCCATTCCATTCCTCCTCCGTGTGGAGTGATGAGTGTGACTGCGGGTGTGTTTCGACTGCGCGGTCGCTGTCTGCTTCATGCGTGTTTGCGTGCGTTGCGGCTTTGTAGTTTACTGAAGTCGTGCTGAGACACCTGAGTGGATTTGTGTGGGTGCTCCTTCTTGCGGGGCGCGCGGTCATTTTTTGTTGGGGTTAGAGGCTTAAGAGCGCGTCTAATAGCCCGGAAAATACAGTAGTCTAACCTGTCATATGCACTTTAAACAAAATTCACAGCAAGCAATTTTTTTTTCCAAGTTTTTTGCCATACTGTAGAACATTCCAGGAAGATCAATATCACCATAGTGAAAAGCAGGTGATGGATCCTCTACCTTCACTCGAGTAAAGTTACATAGTGCACTTGTGTTGAAATGATTTGAGTTTTGTACCTTTTGTGCCTTAAACAGGAGCTTGTGAACAGATGAACCCACTGATTGATGAGAAATTGCAGGAAATTGACAGGTAACAAACAAATATATAACATAACAAGTTTAACATTTTAAGGATAAAAAAAAAGTTTGGATTAAAAACTACAAAATTACAGAATTTTTTTATGTTGATGTCCTGTTACTGCAGCCTAGTATGCATGTGGTCTGTGTGTGAGTGTTGGTGGTGGTCCTAGGGGTCAATGAAGTGCATCGGCATCCTCGCTTCTGTCAGTCTGACTCAAAAAAGTGTCTCCAAAAAGTGCTGCTTTTTATGGAGGGATCCATTATTCACTCTTCTTATTAATTAAACTCAACACAGACATAAGGGGCGGGAATGACTCACGGCTGGTTGAACGCTTGTCTTAAAACCAGAAGTTTATAATTATACCCTGTATATCAAGCAAGCTTTAAATGTGTGAATTTCACTTAGTAGAAGATAAACTGCATAACATCATACATTTATAGAATGGTTACCAAAATTTGTTCTCTTGGCAAGGTTTAGTTTAGGATTCAGGTGCCCTCCTGATTAGACCCTTGTTAAAAATGTGTTTTCTTACCCTCTTGTAGAAAGCACTCAGAGCTGTCTGAGTTGAATGTGAAGATGCTAGAGGCTCTGGAGCTCTATAACAAACTGGTGAATGAGGCGCCGTATTACACTCCATACTCCAAACTGCATCAGCCACAGTACGCTCCCACGGCAAACGCCATGTCCATGCAGGTAAGACACATTAAAAGTTTCAAATACTCCTATGTTATTGCTGGGTTTCAGGCGACATCACCACATTCTGTTGGCCAACAATATTTAATACAGATGAGGGCAGCTAAAATGAATATTGGTAAACTACAGATTTTTGTTGTAATACAGTGAGTATTGGGATTTTGTCAGTAATATGATGGGGTTGAACATTTGTGACTTTACGTACTTCTTGCTGACAACAATCATGTATTTGGAGTTGGATAATGGCATCTCTTCCTGAAGCTGTTGTGAAAAAAATAATTTCACATGTAGCTGTTTTATTCTTATTAAGATGGTGAACCTTGTGTCAGTTTTTGTTTCATGTTGATAGGCCTAGTAATTATCAAGATTACTTCATAATCCACATCAACAAATCTACAATCTGTTATCCTGTGATAAAAAACACAAATTTTTATGACTATAAGCAAACTGGTGACTTGAATTTTAAAGTATTGTTAATATAATACAATTTGTGCATTTGCTTATTTATAAAATACCAGATAAGATTTCTTTGTTTCTGCAGATATATTTTGAAATAGAATACTTTTTGTTAGCATTTGATCTGTCCATTAATGCGCTGGTTAACGAGGCTGTGCTCTGCTTCAGGGGCATTTAATGATCTCCCTTCAGTCAATAAATCAATCATGGAACAAATTCACTTGTACAATGCTCCGAAAGGTCCACAATTAAATTTTTATTGATGGCAGCTTTCGCCTTTATAATGTATTTAGTTTCACTGGTTACACAGCATAATGACAGAATGTGTTTTCAAAATTATAAAGACTGTTTTAACTCACATTTAAATTTTAACAAGTAACTGAAAAATTTTAAGTTCCTATTGCGTATTTCTCCTGCAGAAAGAGCCGCTGTTCTATCTTGTATCATGTGTCAGTGTCACTTAGGATTTCAGCAGATTTCAGGCTTTCTCGGGGATTAGGCTAGTTGTATCAGTTAGGTATGAAAGGATGTGTGGCAGCTGAAGTTTGAGCCATTTCTTCTCGCCATTTATGTGGGTGCGTCCACTGATTTGCGCCCCGGGCGAGACCCCCTCCTGTGAGTTTTCAGTTTGAGAGAAGAATTCAGACTTAATATGCAGGGTTTGTGTTTTAAGCATATGTGAATGAAACTAAACATGACTCTGGGTAAGATGAGGAAACAACATTGTAACTTAAATCAGAAAATAGTGTAATATGGGCCCTTTAAACATAGAATTATTACAACTAGCATGTGTGCGTACTTCCTGATTAATGGACATTAAATGCTTTATAATGAGATGTAGACAGTACACAGCAGACTTATTTTGACCTCGAGTGGCTTGTACAATATACTACTGTACTCAAAGGACAAATTTTGCTCTAATGGAAAAATTCTGTATGCCCCTATAAATATATCATAAAATATTGTTTTAAAATGATGCAGAGGAACTCCTTTATGTCTTGTTTATTGACTTCTATTCTGGAATATAGCTGCCAATCCCAAATCCATTTTAAAATTGCTGTTGGCAGCAGATTGTGAAAACAGTGCATCACATCATGTCCTTCCCCTCCTTTAGCGTTGGTCATATTACTCCGGTCAGTTCACACGAGTCATACATAATTTATAGACGGGTTTATTTCAGGGCTGAAGATTTTCTGAGCCTTGACTCTGCAGGAGTCGTCAGAGAGCACTTTATCTATTGAGTTTATTGATTGATTATTGACAAGTAAGGGCTATAACTACTCATTGTCTCCCATAGATTTTGTTAAACTTCTGGTGGCATAGATAATTTTTATTTGAATAATTTCATTTTATTGAATTTGTGGAGTTTAAATGACACTTATTGCCTATATTTAATTATTTATTTATTAATTATTATGTAATTAATTATTATGTAATTATTTTTAAGAATTTTGACCAGTGTAGTCTCTTGAGCCTCACATGAGTCTCTCATGTGAGGATTTTCAATGCTGAAATCCAGTTGGTTTAATCCTAAAATGGCTTTTTCTGATCTGAATGGTCGCTACATAAACCCCAGTATCTGCAGCCAATCACTAACCAGTCCTAGTGCAGCCTCTGCGGCACAGTGAGTGAATTCTGAAGGTTTTGAGCTTTCACATCAGGCCTGTGCACATAGGTCTAATGAGACGTCTTTTTACGAGTTAAAGCACTGACTTCAATTGTGATTATTGTTGGTTTTTTAAACAGCAAAAGTGCAAGCTACATACCCTACCTTTAAGCAAACACTGCGTCAAATGCATAATACATTACATTTAATTTGTGTCTCCAAGTCTAATTCCAGGTTTTTAGCATTCTTATTGATTTGGCCCATACGCCTCTGTTTGTCTGGTGGATATTCAGTCAGCCTTTTGCTCACGGAGGAGGAGGAGGCTGTAGCTTTTCTTGGCTCTTGCAGTTTTCTCTCTAATGATTGATATCGCTGTCTGTCCCTGGAGATTTAGAAAAATGTCCACTTCACTGGGCCGGCCCACGCTTTATTTCATCCTTTATCATGATATTTTTTTCTCCTTATTTTTCTGCGAACAGTGAATGCATCGTCAGGCTGTTCTTGCACCTGCTGCAGTTTAACATAAAGGGCTGTTACATCTGGTACTGTCTGTGTCAATAAGTGCATTTGGCTTACAGAGCCTATGTGAGCTTACCGGTCTGAAGTCTACATTTCTCATTTTTGAACAAGTTTTCTTGTAGTTAGTTATAGTTTAGGTCTGTTTCGAACCTAGCTTACTTCTGAGTTCAGTTCAGTTGTAGTGCTTGTTTAGTCCAATTTTTTTAGTCCTGGTTTAAACCACTTTGGTCTCTAATTAAGTGTCAGTGTCTGAGTTGGCCAGAGGTCAAAGGTTGGAGGATAGATCCAGGTATGATAGATTCCCACTGGGATTAAAGTGCATTTCTAAAATGTTTTAAATTATAGATTTATACCAATGAAATATCAATTTTTGTAGAAAAGTTGAAAAATATTTTGAAAATTAGAGGAAGTAAAGAGTTCCATATTGATGACAACACATTAGGGAGTGCAGCGCTGCAAACCTACTCACTAATAAAATTATTTAGACCTTAGATCCATCTGAGTGAGATGCTGTTGTAAAACTAAACCACTGCTGTTTATATTATTTATCATCATTTCTAACCTCACACCTGTTTTTCTCTGTTAGCCTCAGTACTTAGGCCCAGCCGGAGCTCCGTACATGACCACAGCGATGACCCAAGGACCTCCCACACAGACCTACTCTCTGCCCAGTGACCAGCCCTCCTCACTTTGCTCTCTACCGGCTAACGCTCCCCCCTCCAGCCAGCCACAGCCCTACATGAGGTGAGACCATAGAGCTCATTATATACTGTTGGAATGACTCACCACTGACAGTGAAGAGATGAGGGCCAGTGTAAATTAGTGTAAGTATTAGAAATAAGACACATACAAGAAATATAAGGGTCCATGGGTTTCAGAATGACACAAAATTAGGCTGTTTCCACAGTGATAAACAATTCTAATGTCTTTTTGAATGGGAAAAAATCCTCAAGATGTTGCATACAGAACATACATATACAAAGCTGAAACCCATGAATAGTCAAAAAAGGGAGTGTTGGCAAGTATACCAAAGACACAGAATGCCATAGGCATAGAATTCTAACTACATCTGTCACTCTGCCCCAAAGGTAGTACCAATGAATGAAAGAGGGTTACATAAACCAGAAATAAAATATAATTGCGTAACATTATTATTGTTCAAATATGAAGGTGCTGACTGGTCCACAAATGCTCCAAAAATTGTGAAGGGTATCAGATTTTCAAACTGCACAAGGAGGAAATATGTTTTTAAAACGTAATACACTAACCAACTAGATCCTTGCTGTTACAGACTCTTTAACACATTATTAATATCCACATATTAATTTCTGGGCTCATGCTTAGATTTAGAGTAGAATTTTCAGACAAATTGGAGTGGACCGCCCAAGCGCAGCCAATCAGAGTGCTACTTATGGCATTTATTTCTGGGCGTGTGAAAGATAAAATACTTTTATTATTGGTTGCAAACAGCAGACATCACATTTTGTCACAAAGTGCTGCTTTTACACTATACTCTTTGGGAGAAAACATGAAATGTACTATTTTTTTGGTACCCCAGCTTTAACTACAAGTGCAAAAAATGATGTAATACATAGAAATGGCAACAACAACAAAAGCATGCATTATCAAACAACGTAATATTTTAAACTAGAAACTACTACAAAATATATAAAAAAATCCAAATAGTATTTTGTAAAAAGCCAGTTGTTATTTTTATTATCATTGTGGTGTCAAAATTGGCTTATTCCTTAGCATCGAAATAGTCTGAAATTGTATTACTGTGTCAACACTAATCTCTGTTATTAATACCATCACCTCATACTAAGTTTTCTCTTTGCTTTCTTTACTATGTTTTTATTAACCATGTAACCTTTTTTGTCTACAGCAGTGCTATGAACCCTCAGTACATGACCCAGGCCCCATACGCCCCTCAGAACATGGACATGTCGAACTACCACCACAACCCCCAAATGCCCCCCGTGTCCTACCCCATGGCCCCCCCTCCTCTACAGACCCCCCCACAGCAACAGCAAGCAGTCTACTACCAACAACCCCTGCTCTAAAACCTGCCCTCCTGTCTGTTTCTATGTGTGGTGAGTGTAAGAGTATACCGTATGTCCCTTTATGATGTTTGAGACAGTTGTAATGCCATCAAGAGTGGATATTGCGTGCATGTTTTTGGACAATCGCACGCAAGGACAATTTTTATTCGCCCAGTGCTGGTTTTCTATAATATCTTGATGTAGAAGTAGCCACTAGGGGCGTCAAATTCATTCTACAACAGCGCAATGGCAAGAAATACATATAGTTTGCATATGATTGTCTAATTTGTTTTGCAAATGGTTGAAAGAGCTCTCAGATGGGGTATTAGGGGAAAAGTCTATTGGCATAATTTCAGTTTAAAGTGTACCTATAAGTTAAAGTGTACCTTAGTTTTTATGCATTGGGGGGCTGCTAGAATTTTAGTCAATTACAAAAATCATTATAATAAATGACTCTACCAAGCCACAGTGGTCAGACATCACAACAAAAATAGCACTTTCTTTTATATTTCTTTTACTTTAATTGAATTACCATGATGACAGTTGATTATTTAAGACTTTATAGCTCTCATATACAGGATTAAAAATTACATGTGATTTTACCATCTGTATTGCCTGTAGTAGATTGAGATTGATATGGTTATTACTTTGCCTGGATATTATTAATAATATTCCACAATATGGGATTTACTGAAAAATGTTCATTCGTACTGTGCGTGGGGGAAATTAGTCTATAGTTTTAAAACGGTGACAGCAAATACAATGAATATAGTTTCAATAAAAATCTGCCCAGTTGACACCAGTGACCCAGTTCATTTTAAATACAATATAATACAACACAGTATAAAGAATTTTCAAATATGACTACATTGAATGGTGAAGTAGCCTTAGACTTGGCTTTTGAATAAATAAAGTATCTTATTTCACTAAAAGTTGTGTACTATGTCTGTTGATTCATACGTCTACTGCTGGCAATATATGATACTGACAATAAAACTTACATTACATTCACAACTCATTGAACCATTTTTGTCCCAATTTAACTTCCCTCCTCTTGTTTTTATGTCTAATATATTCTTGTTGAAGCTGCTACAGTTCATTAATATTGTCCTCTATATTTTTAGCCCCATTAACACTGAACATAACCTACACTTTTGGTCAACATGAAAGGTTCTCGGGCCTCAGTACCTATCTTTGGACATTTTCTTCTAGTAGCATAGATTTCTCCTGAACACTCTATTTAAAGGTGCAGTTTGTAACTTTTCTCATGGAGTGTCCGCCACCAACTTGTCCCCATGGAGACGTTATTGCTTTGCCTAACTTGGCCTAGTGGCACCAGTTGCTTGTTTCTATTATGGGTACATTTTAAGCCATACTTTGTAACATTCCAGGCTCAGCAATGCCATCTCCAAGGAGACGAGCAGGTGACAGCCCCTACACCAGAAAAGTTACATAGCGCACCTTTAATAACAGCATTGGTTCTTTCCATCAAACGCTGCCTTTCCAATAGCTGCATTCAGATATTTAACAGTTTTGTGTGTGTGACTGAGTTGGGTTTTATACATGCAAAGATAAGCAAGGATTTTTCTACATCTGTCTTCTAAAATGTTGAAAATGTCAAGCAATTTCCCCTTTAAATATATGTACCTATCTATGAATTTGCCTTCTATTTGAATTATGTGTTATGGCAAATATAGGCGTTTGTTGTTAGCTTATATGAGTGTACTTTGAATGTTTAAGACGCAGTTGTAAAAATGCTATGGTTATATGAAGAATGGGCGGTGACATGTTGCTTGCTGGGTTGCTGTCCTTATTTGAAGTGTACAGTTTTTTTGTAAATTGGGGTCTATTAAATACTAAGATATGTTTGTTATTCTATATGATTGGATACAAGTGTGTGGAGTTGCAGAAAGGGCTGTTATAACAGGATTAGTGTTCCAAGGTGAATAGTTAAAGGGCCCATTTTATTTTATTTTATTATCTATGTTATAATGTTGTTTCCATATCCAAAACAGTTTCATTTACACTTCATTTGTTTTTGTCATTCACACAGGTTTACCACACAAACCCTTCATATTTAAGCTGAGTTCTTTTCTCAAAACAGAAACACTTGCAAATTGTGATGTCGTGCGGTAATAGAAAGTGCTCCACTGTGTTTAAACTTCACACGTCTTCATTAGAATCATTTGGAGCTCATTTCAGCCCTAGAATTGCCAATTTCTACCAAACAAACAAATAATAGTTCAGTATTCTTAACTATATTTCAATAATTTATTTTAAAGCTGTGATTTTTAGCTGGTGGGATTTGCCCCAATAAGTGGATATTAATGATGATATTTGAATATGTATGAAATGTGTAAAATATCAAAATTTACATTGCCCATAATTCATTTATCATTTAAGTTATGTATAGAAATATCCAATAGGGACCATATGTGCACCTTTGTTTAATTTAGGCTCTTTGTAATTTCTCCTGTCTGCTTCTCCAAATGATATACCAAGCAAGGGCTGCAACAACTGGGAAATATCTATACCATCTTATATATATTTGAATTTTAAATATTCAAATTCACATTTTAAATACATATAATATCTAGTACTTGAGAAAATACTGAAAGATGAACTGGTAGACTAATAGGAGAATTGTGTGCATTTCGGAACATGTTTGTGGACGTCTAAACCACACGGACCCAATAGAGGATGCAAAAGACAATGTATTACCTTAATAAATGCTGCCTGTATGCTTCTCCATTCTAATTTAAACTGAATTGTCTTGCAGCAGTCTTACCAAAAATCACACGTAATTGTATAACTTAGTATCTTTTTGACCCAATTTACAAAATGCTAAACTATTGCTACTTTTTCCCCACTGTTTATGTCTTATCCCCATCTGTCAGTCCATTATATGTAACTTCATGACATTTTGCACCTTAGCTTTGTGAACTTATCTACCACTGGATGCCTTCTTCTTGTTCTTCTGTAGAAATCGAACTTTACTTTGGAGAGATGCTTCGGTCAGAAATGTATAAATCTGTATATTTAAAGTATGCTAGAAAAAAAACAAGCAGGATTTTAAAACCTTATGCTTTTGTAATGGCATAGAATAATAATTTGAAATAAAAAATGTACAAGAGTGCATGTTGTCTTGTGTATCTTAATGCAAATTCAAAAGTATTGTAACTTTTCTGGTGGCAACTTGCTTGTCTCTATGAAGATGTTAGTTCTTTGCATGGAATATTCCACAATACGGTATTAAATGTATGATTCTTGCATCAGTTTAAATTACGAATGCTTTTATGGCTCAAAATATCTGGAAAAACATGCATTTCTACTGTGAGCAGGTTCCAATCTCCTCTGATCTGATTGGGAAGTTGACTTGTTTTCTCATCTCCATGGAGATAGATAAGTTCAGTGTAGTGTTATGGAACATTCTATGGTCACAGCAGTTACATCGCCATGGAGACAAGCAGCTTGCCAGAAAAGTGACATAGTGCATCTTTAATTCTTCACTATACTGTAAGCCTCATATCATCTCTCTCTTTTTTACTCCACATCCAAAAAAGTCCATCTAGTCTTGGTTTAGACTATTGACTGTACAAATAAATGGGCATAGCTAACCCACTAACTACTGCGTTCCAAATAGGACATAGTTTGGCTCCAATTTACTTTACATTTAAAACTGTCACCCCGCTCCCTATAAATGCTGCAGTAAACCTTGGCATTTTGGTTTTAAAGTGTTTATATCAATGTGCTCTACAAAATCCTGTGGTGTTTTTACTTTGCAGTTTTGTCTGTTAATACATTTATATTTCTAATTGTTATGACCCAGCTCATTTGGGGGTTGGAAAGTAACAAAAATAAAACCAAGATGTAAAATGGAATAAATTAAATAATGTTTAATTAACAGGAAGATAAAAGGTAAATTAACAAAAAACTAAAATATACAGAAAACAACCTAAACTAAGACACAGAACAACAGAATAAACAGAGTTTTGTGCCACAAAAGGGGTCACGCAGGCTTACACAAAACAAGTGGTAAAATTAAGGGACACACACTAAACTAAAACACAAGTTCCCCAAATTAAACCACATAAATAATCGAGTCAAATCAAAAAAGGCACAAAACAGAACTAAACTAAACTACACACAAACACAAAAATGGCATACTGGCCACCAAGGCCAGCAGCCCCAGTTAGGTGCTGGTAGGAGAACATGCCCCACCAAAAATCACACAAAACAAATTAGAACTAAGGCCTGGGACCGTAACATTAATATGGATATCGGCTCCAAATTTGCCCCTATAACCACCAGCCTTGTGAGCTTCATTTGTCACACTCCCTTTGTCCATTTCTTAATACAGCCTATGGTTCAGATCTGGTTTAGTCCTCTCTAAACCTGGAAATGCATGAACCAGGACTAAACCAGCATCAAGTTAGGAACAAACCAGGACAATACACCTTTCATTAGTCCTTCTAGTCCTGGTTTAGATCTAGTTTAGACCTGTTCTAGTTTAGCCCACCCACTATGTTTAAAGTATCCTGGTAACACCCCCTACTTGTTTTCATGGGGATAGAAAAGTTGAATGCGTAACTGTGAGACATTATAAATAATATCTTTATGGAGACAAGCAGCTGACAAATCATCTACCAGAAAAGTTGCATAGTGCACCTTTAATTCTCCAACAATTGCAAGTCTCATATCAACCTGGTGTGAAAGAAGGTACATTTTTGGGTTACATTTCTCTACATGCAAATCTATCAAGTCTTGTTTTAGACCTGGTTTAGTCCTAGTTTAGACTTTGAGTAATCCTGGTTTAGTTGCATAGACCCATTCTAGTTTAACCTACACAAAATTTTGCAGCATCTTTAATGCTCTTGGGTCACATAGACCCGACGAAACTTTTTTTTTTCCTTCCCCCTCTCTTGGGGCAGGTCAATCAGACCCAAAAAAATATTTTCATTTATTTTCTCGCCAGGTGAGAAAATTAATTTTTGGGTCTGACTGACCCGCCCCAAGAAAGTGGGAAGGAAAAAAAATGTTTCTTCGGGTCTATGTGACCCGAAGGAGAGCGAGAGGGTTAAAGTCTTGGAAAATCACTTCTTAATGAATGAAGTGCTCTTCTTGTCTTCAGTTCGGTGACTACATTTTCACAATTAACATGTTCCAAAAATAGACCCAGGATCTAATTAACTCTCCCTGAGCTCCTTCTGTCAGCCACTGTGATGGACTTGGACTATCATATTGTCATTATGGTGACAGAGATTCATGTTTTACAGAACAAAAACGTCATATAGATCGAAGAGTGACTTTATTTCTTCAAAAAGGACAGACAAATATACTGTATACATGTGGACTAAATCAAACCGATGATTTAATGTATGATTTTGGAAAGGAAAATGAATTGGATGATATCATAGTTGAATCTGCATTAGTTCTACTTATTGCTTTTCATTTTTGATATTTTTGTTTTAAGAATACATAAAATATATAAGAAATAAACACTACCCATTCTTAACTAAAAAGTACTAAACCAGGTCTAGTCCAAGTTTCCAACTGTGGAACAAAAATGTGTGTGCTATTGTCTGGAACCGTGCAGCTGGTGACAGAACAGCATCATCTGTTGTTTGTTTAATGGAATTTCTTAAAACTGAAAGAATTCAACTCAACAGAAGAAAAAAGACCTAATGCGTGTGCTGGTGCTTTATTTTGCTATTTGGTCCGTAAACCAATTCTTTTTCCTAATACCAAACAGGCTCCAAATTTGTCCCTATAACTGCTAACCTCTGTGAACTTCACTTGTCTGGAGTTCAGTGCTATGGTGACGTCACTCTCCCTTAGTCCACTTCTTTATAGTCTATGAGTGAAATTGGCCAATAGAGGCAAAGCTATATCGGTATCAGCCAATACCAATACTGAAACCGATATTTCGCCCATCCCTAATTCTAATCGTTGTGTCACTTCTCTTGTTTAAAATGTGAACTTTGAACAGAACCCTTTTATTAAAAGATTTAAAAAAAAAAGGGAGACAATAATAAAATGTCACTGTAAATATGAGTGACCTTTTGACCTCTGACACTTACAGTAAATTCAAGTGAAACACCAATAACACATGTGGACTGATACCTCTGTATTTAGTTTCACCACTCTTGTGTGTAAAATATATTGCATTTTATATATTTATTCAGTTTTTTTAAAGAAAATGATTGCATATGACAAGCGTTAAATGACGAATTAAAATGTATGAGTTCAAATAAAACATAAATCGCAAATCTAGTCACAATTGCAAAGGTGGTCCAAAAAAAATAATTCTTCCCAAATTGTTCAGCTCATCAGAGGAAAAGGATCTAAATACTAACCAAAACATACATTTATATGCCACATATAGCAATCTTTCCCAGGAATTCTGAATTCTAATGGACAATAAAGGCCTAAATTATGGAAGCCCATTTCCACCAGTAAATAAAAAATAAAAGCCTCACAGAAAGTCATAATTATGAGGTTTCAACTTATAACTACTACTACTACTGCTATGTTCTATGGGGAGAGAGCTTGAGACAGGGAGAGAGGGAGAGAAAGGGAGGTAGAGCGGGTTAGAGAGAGGGAGGGAGAGAGGAAGAGAGAGAGAGAGGGAGGGAGGGAGAGCGAGAGGGAGAGACAGAGGGAGAGAGAAAGGGACAGACAGACAGAGAGGGAGAGACAGAGAGAGGGTGAGAGAGAGGGAGGGAGGAGGAGGGGAGGCAGAGAGACAGAGAGAGGGAGAGAAAGAGAAAGAAGGAGAGAGAAGAGCAAGAGAAAGAAAGAGAGAGGAAGAGAGAGATAAGAGAAAGGGAGCAAAAGAGAGAATGAGGTGGAGAGAGAAGAGGGAGGGAGAAAGAGAAGCTGGAGAGAGAGAAAAGAAAAGAAGCGAGAGATAGAGAGAAAGTAGAGGGAGAACGAAGGGCTAGTGCTTCAGAAAGGACAAAACCCAAGAGAAGAAGGATCTGCAAACTGTTAAAAGAGAAACAGGAGGAGCAGCAGGCGGGGGTGTGGCAGGAGCAGCGGGTGGGGCCACGCCAGGAGTGGCGGGCAAGGCAGGAGCAATGGCCATGGCAGGAGCAGCAGGGCAGTGCCTCTGACACTGACCAGGAACGGTATGGGGTACCCTAAAACGGGCAGCAGACATAACATCGTCAGGGGACGACATGACTACATCATTCGGGTACAACACCGAAGCTGCAGGCTGGGAGATGTCCTTATCTGGCGACGACATCACAACATTGTTTGGGTACAACAACGAAGCTGCAGGCGAGAACACCGGCATACACTGAGACATTTTATAGCTTTTTTATAGCTTTTTGTGTGTGTTGATGAGAGTGTGTATTTATTTTTTTTAAGTGTGAGTTTGTTTCTGTGTTTTTACGAGTGTGTGTCTGTGTGTTTTTGTTTGGTGATGTTCACAAGTGTGTCTGTCTGTGTGTAGGTGTATGTTTGTGTGAGTGAGTGCTTTTGTGCTTGAGTCAGTGTGGGTGTTTGTGCTAGTGTGTGTTAGTGTATGTTAGTGAAGGTTTGTGTGTGTGTGAACTTAAAGTCAGATGCGAGGTCCTGTGCTGTAGGTCTGGAGGTCTGGGGGTCTAGGGGTCTGAGGGTCTGGAGGTCTGGGGGTCTGAGGGTCTGGAGGTCTGGGGGTCTGAGGGTCTGGAGGTCTGGGGGCCTGGAGGCCCAAAAGACTGGACCAGTAGTGGGCCTTGGCTCACACAGACCTGTGGGGAGAAACATTTGTGTCACACACCAAAACTAACAGGATGCACATACAAGAGTACAACAAAACCAGAGGGACAAACTGTAGAGACCAAAATGTTTCTCACTCACTTTTCTTAAATTTTAATTTAATTTGAACCAAATGGCAAACAGCAATTGTTTACAAATGAAGTTTATTACTTTTTATATACATAAAAGCCGTCACTTTAAAGCAGCTCTATGCATACATGCACTATTATGCTTTATGTTTTTAATTTTGCATTAAAAGGAAAGCATAAATGCACAAGGGCACATTTCTTTGAATAAACTCATCGTAATCATGATCTAGGTATTGTTAAAAGGGTAATTTGCTACAGCATTAGTTGTTTTTTGTGTAACATAACGGTGAAATCCCAAAGC